TGATAAACAATGATAACAATCTAAAAAGATATAGGAATTCAATTTAATAAATGAAATATATAATAATGTATATTAAATTCATTCAACTATAACTCTATATTGGATCATCGGTTGGGATGATGATGATGATGATCATCGCGTTAGGGAGATATATAGTAAAGGAGGATTGATTGTAACCGTAGGAAGTTTAATATAATAATATGGAGTCAAGATCCTGATTCCCGAATTAATTTTGTCTCAATAACAGGAATTCCTGAAACCAAAAATGAACAATTTTGCGTACTATTATTAAAATAATATTCAAATGTAATATTTTTAAGAGGCCGGACGTAGACTGAAAAAAAGTAAATTATTTAACAACCACTGGTTTACGTATCATCAACGAAGAGCTTGAAAACAAGTCAATGATTGAAGAAAATATGCTGAGAATTCCTTTGCTGATGATGAAATGGAACTATCACTCATTGTAGCAGGACGCCTGTCATTAGCTGTGGGCTGTCCTCACTGTTAGAGTTGATCAATCTTAATAACCTCTAATTGTACTCAACCTACTATTCATGCCTTTTGTAGTTCCTCAATGACAAATCTTACCTTACCAACTACGGATTTTACCTGTACATGAAAGACCTTACACACACACACACACACACGCACGCGGCCGCGCGCAACTGACAGTGCAACATTACAGACAGCCTTCCGCACACCGTTGTTGCATCAACACCGTCGCACTAAACACACATTCTGCTAACCACTTTGTCATTGCATGGTGAACTCCTCCAACGAGTCAGCATTGCATAGCAACCATAGCAACAACTGAATCCACCAATATAAAAACATGCATCCATTTCTATATGTGTGCATAAACAAACGCCTATCACCCGCACATTTTTTACCACAGTTCTTCCGTTTTCTTGTGATAGTGATTCTACGTTTTAGAATTTTACCACCACAACTTAGCATGCACAATCCAACACATTTGCAGCTTTCCACATTTCTCACTTTTGTGAAACGCCGGCGAGGCATAAAAAGAGGGGAAAATCATCGCATTCTTCGGGACACTTCTCTTCTTCACTCTTATGTATGCGTGAGCGTATGGGAAGACAAAAGCCTGCCCACGATTTTCGTCGCACATTTTTTCGATTGCACTTTTCATTAACTTAAGAAACGGCGAAATTATTGTATTGCCAATAAAAGTTTATAAAGAGAAAAAGAGAGGGATTAGTAATTCTATTTAATTCAATTACCTTATTTGCTTATCCCTGACAGATACGCGTATTTCGTCTACAATGAGCAGACTTCTTCAGTGTCTTGTACTAATACTCGACTGGTACAGTCCAGATTTAAATTAAATGCTTCATTTGCAAAGTAAAAGCATTTTAAGATTGCAATCGTATACCTCACCGAGTAAAATTTTGAAACCATCATCACTCTCATAGTTCTTCTATTCTCCACGAGTGCCAACTTTGATTTGCCACACCGGCCGAAATGTACTAAGATAAGTAGGAATTTGGCTATTGAATTTTGAAAAACATGCCGGTTTTTATACATCATCTGATAGAGTTTCGTTTGTGCTCAGAAAACTGTTTATTGATCCCATAGACATTCATCTTGATTAGTAAACCAAGTTTTAAATTGTCAATAAATTGCATTCGATGGCATTAATACTCGCCATGACAGTTCGCAATAAATGACAGTTCGCTCTATGGCGAGCGGCGCTAAAATGGTGATGCTTGCAACTGTAACCACACTGGTTTCACAAAGTTCCTGTGCACCATGAAATTTTGGATTTAGGTTCCAATTATAACTCCATTGCATGCGGAGACAGTTTTCAGTCGTCTTCAGCTCCAGTAAAATGCAGGTAATTTCCATTTTTTTTATCAAAACAAATAAAAAAAAAACTTCCCTGCTGAAAATATCACAGAGTGGTTTCGACTGCGCGAGAACGTCGTTTACTCAAAAGTAAGTAAAAGTGCGCCCACTCACTTTTGAGTAGCTATACTTCCCGCTGCGAAACCGAACTTTTTGTCAGTGCGAACCTCAACCTGAGCTGGGTTTTAAAAACAAACGATCGAACTGACGTTTGTCAGAAAACAAGCAGGCCCAATCTTGATACCCGATACCCGAATTCGCTATCTGATTTGTATCAACAAACTGAACGCAACTGAACATCTCAAAATTGTTAACAACGTGAAATATCGTCAAAAGGTGGCCAATATAGGAACATGGCCAATACTGGTTTTTTACCATATTCTTTATACCTTGCATGCAATATTGTTTGCAACTTAACGAGCAAGCTTGTTTTCCACGAGAAGCCCAAGAGGAGATGTTGTTACTGAGGTCCTATGTTTTCAAGAGAAAACTTATTCAAAGATTTTGATTTACGGTTTAGCGACTTTGCAGTCAATTTAATTGTTTATGTCATTAGCCAAATACATACGTAGACCATAGGTCCACCGTTGTATAATTGGCAATGCACCCGTGTACTGAATGGGAATTGTGGGTTCGAATCCCACCGGTGCCCTTAGATTTTTTCGCAAATTTTCTCACACACACGTCTCTTACCGATGATATGTGCCTCTCAGTATGTTCAAACTTTCTCTTATTCAAAGAGCTACGAGGTGGTTATTCTGAAATGTTAAACAATATTTCAAAGAAATTGGATTGACTGAGAATTCAAAGAAAAATCGTAGAGCGAATTCCAAGGGACGATTTTGATAACAGCGATGAGAAAACTGTGGGATGATTCAAATTGATATTCTTGAATAAACTTCAAAGAAACCTGTGCAGACTTCTAACGAAAATATTAAGGACTTGACATAGATATATGGGAAAATTTCCAAAATAACAAATTGCAAATTTTCTAGATTTTGATCTTATTTTTTTTTTTTTTTTTTTGGCAGTGTTCAATATTCTGAGACAGACAAGAAACATTCGAGATATCGAGAAAGTAGAAAAGATTTGTGATTTCAAGATTTTTGAAGTTTTAATAAGTCTTATACTTTAAAAAATGTCTTCAGTGTCCAGTGTTCAGTCCTTAAGATGTTGGGCAGTTCGCAGTGTTCGCACATTGAGACATTTTTTTAATGACGGTCTCTGTTACGTAATCAAGTGCCAATCACCGACGAGCGTCGATTGCCAATTGGGTTCTTTATGAGTAGTGAGGTAAATGCCCCAAATAACCACCAAGCCCACTAATTCACCTTTTTATATAAGGTTAATGTAGAGTTTCCAAACTTCATATTAGTCGTATATCAGCTTTGTATTGAAATGTTTGCCGAAGGAAGCATAATTGTCCCATTGTGTATATGAAAGTCTATTATATTTTAAAGGAATAAATGTTTTCAATTCGATGCCTAGACATATCAAACGTACAGCAACACTTACATAATTTAAAAGACACTGCATTTCACACGTTAAAACTGTCTTTTGATTTTTTTTTATGAATTGATAAATTATGTATTTTAACGAAGTTATCTCTAACGGATTATTTTGTATGGATAACTGTCATGACTTTTTAATAATTATTGTAGCACTGCAAAATTTATTTCTGTTCGCCATGATGGATTTTTAATATTTGATTTAATAGTAGTAGATTAAAAAAAAAAGTAGTCAACAAAAGTTTGAGTCTCGTACGGATATAGAGGACTGAATTTAACATTTGATTAAAAAAATGCAATTTTGAAGCTTATTTGGAATCTTGAGTTAGTAGTAAGTGAGCATTCCTGACATTGCTGAAAATCATGATAGCCTCAGATTGCGGGGTTGCTAGTGTAATAGGATGCTTTGTTGATTGTTCATTAACTCTTGATTGCTTCTAATACTTATGAATATTTTAGGTGGACAAAAAGGCGAACCAAGAGGTGGACGCCTGAGCTTTTCCACATTTATATCGCTGTGAAGTAATTGTTAACTCGAGAGGGAATTTATATCTGTAACTGTAACCAGTTCGATTTTGTTTACAAACCTGGTTAAATTGTCATATTTAAAGATAAATCGTCCAGCTCAAACCTTTGTAGGGGTAAGAGGTGGGACCATCATCATCATCTAGAACCCGGGACAATTATACCGGCAGTGGACCACAAAGGAATTTCGGAACAGTTCTAGAGCCACCAAAGCAACTCAATCTTTCATTTTGTTTTCCTCTAAACTTACTCAATTTTACTTACGAATTTATTCCATGCATCTTTCGCTCGTTAAATTCCAACACATCCCTACCGAACCGTTCCTTTCTTTAGTTACCTACTCTCTCTTTCTCTCTCTCTCTCTAATGTGTTGTTGTTTCAGTGTAGGCAATGTGTTGCAAATTTAAGTTAAGCTTACTTGGTTTGCAACTTTCCTGAAATATAGTATATAAAAAAAGACTCAATCACGAGCGCTGCCTTACAAAACAAAACAAAATGACCATTAACTTTATACTCCTTTAAAAAAAAATAGACGGTAAATTACACTTCCTTAAAACTTAGGAGCTATTCTCTAGAGTGTAGACCACAACTGCAGCAAAAAACGAAAAAAAAATCCTCCCCACTTCAACTGAATTACCTTGAATTTTAGGATTTTTCCATAAATTTACCATTTTTTTTTTGGGGGAGGTTTTGTGTAGATGTGGTTTGCAAAATTCAGCATTTTTGTTTTGGTTTTTTGGTTGAAATGTCTAAATAAATATAGGTCCCACCAATTGAGCTTTATTATTGGCGCTCGCAGCAAATGTGTATTTGTGTGTACTCAAGTGTTCGGAATAGTCGTAAACACGGTGAAGAATGTGTTCGAATTCCATTCTAGGTAGGTAAGGTTCGTTAAGTTTTTGTTTTGTTTTACTCCTTCTTAGATATCAATGTGTTTTCGTGTAAGGTATGTAATTGTAAATAGAAGTCATCTTTCTCAGTTTCTTGATCATTTTTTTTTCATTACGAAACGATTACGGCTAATCACATAAAGATGTGTATTTTACTTGTAAAGTTGTTTCTTTTTTTTTAGTTGGTTTTGCTAAGTTCACATTCCCGTTATTTTTCTGCTGCTTTAGTAATATTAATACCAAGACACCATAATTGTTTCGTTTATCATATTCATGTGTGTGTGTGTGTTTGTGTTTGTGTTTATTCCTTCAGTTAAGGTAGGAGTGTTTGTTATTTTTTTCATACTTTTTCTCTCATTTTCAATTTCTGAAAAGAAAAATGTGCGTCAGGAGACGATGATAGGCGACATACCAATGCGAAGCAAGCTTTACAAAAAAATGTGAGAGTGATAAGTACTTTGAAAATCGTTCTCTTTATTTACTGGAAATGTGGGCTGGAATGACGAATCTAAAACACTCTACAATAAATAGTAGTCGGAAGTTGAACTTAACTTGGACGGACAAGCAGTTTGTTTGCGGGAAAAATTGATTGAAACCTTGTGCAAAATCAAAACGTCGATTTTGACCAGTACCTAGCACAGCAACCTTAGTTTTTGTTTGCAGTGTGTGAAAGCGTTCAAATGTTGTTTCAATTGGATTTGAAAGTCTTTGAACACCGGTTATTCGTTTGTAAATATTCTAGTAAACACCCATTTGTCTTTGCAAACTGTTCAAACCAACAATGTCCTAGTACAAATACGCACATCGAATATAAAACAGTTCACAACAGATACCACGTTTTATGCATTATTATGATTCTATTACGCTTAAAATTGCCTTGCTCCACACCTTTGTAAAAGAACAAATTATTAACATACAGGCAATGTTCAAACGGGGTTCTGTACAATTTGAATGTACCCGAAAGTTTCGTTGGTAGTTGAATAAACGTTACTTCAGCCTAGATAATTCGAAGTTTGGCAAGATTTAAAAATAAATCGAGCTGTAGAAAATATCGGCCCAAAGTGATGTCTATCAAGGTCGGCAACGAAAACGAACGACAATTGTGAAGAGTAGTTTTCTTACCAATCCTCACACTTGCGCAATATATCCAATTAAAAAAAAACCAGCTTTCAAAAACTCTCGCCCTATTGGTAAAACTCAGATACTTTGATTTATTGACACAAAACAAATTTAACACTTTACAACAACAAAGGTACGGATATTTAGGTAAGAATGAAAATCTTCTAAAGTTATTTCCGAGAAAAATAGTTGCGTTGAAAATCAAAGTTCTAAAATGTCGGTAAAATTTTACCGAAGCCAGCCAGTGTTTTCCGAGTCTCGAAATTTAAATGAAGTTCTTCACAATCTAGTCATTCGGCTGCAAATTTGCAAGCACAAATATCAGCATTTACAAAAAAAAACATAAAATTGCAACTTACAAAAATTTGTTGGGAACATTCATACTTCACAAAACAATCCCCTTGAACATTAGCTTGCGTACCATTTCCATTCTTCCGTGTTTTGAACGAGAGGTATGTTAAAATCCAAACATGTCGCAAATACTATGCTGATCGAATGGTCTGCTGCGTGCCTCATCGTCGTCTTCCTCCTCCTCCTCTTCATCTCCACTCCGACTGACCACCCCACTAGTAAACCTACAACTGTTGTTACCACTATTGTTGCTGCTGCTGCTGCTGTTGCTACATTTGTTGCTGCTCAGATTGGGGCGTCACTCGTCCTTGCCCTTCGAATCGCCGCTGGATTTCAGATCCTCCGCCTTCGAGGTAGCCTCAGCTTTCGCGCTGGCATCTGCGGCCGCACTGGGCGTCGATTCTGGTTTGCTGTCGCCACTGCTGCTGTCTGCCTTCTTCTTAGGCGAAGAAGGAGCCGCTGCTGCTGCTGCTGTCGTATCGTCCTTGCTGGTGGCAGGTTTGCTTTCCCCGGTGGGAGTCGATTCGGTTGGAGTGTCCTCATCTTCGTCGGAGTAGTTCGTGGGCTGCTCACCTGGCTTCAACAGGCGACCGACGAGAATGTACTTTTCTACAATACAAAAGCGACTCAATTTAGACTGGTTCTTACGAAGGGAAATTTGAATATCTGTCTTACCCTTGAACTGCATTTCCCATTCCCGGACCGATTCCATCTCCATTGGGGTGAGATCGCTCAGGTCATCGTACTCTTCCTTGTCGTTGCTGGTGACGCTGAATGTGGCCAACCCGCGGGAGGCGTCACGACCTCCGAAAGCGGCATAGGGACCACCTGCAGGGGTAGAGAAAAGGTGGGTGCGTTAGAAAATAATCATGAAGAGAGATTGCTTGAACACAGATAACATATTGTGTAAAAAGGAAACTTGTAGGCAAGTTCAAAGTATTCTAAAGTTAAATCCAGAGAACTTTCAGAGCATAAATTTTTTACACATTGGCTACTACTACCCAGATGGAATTTTTGAGTTGGACTACCCTTAACTTAGTATTTATTTAGCACTTTCCATTTATTGTGTAATTGACAGCTTTCTACGCCATTGTCTTATAGTGTGCCATTGTTTTCCAAATGGGTTCTGCCTATTTTTCGTTGTTTGAATTTTTCGACTACAAAATTATTTACAAGTAGATGGAAGGCAGCAATTTCCCCGTCCGTTGAAAATTGTCGATTTAATTTTCAATAAAAAATAGGCCTATTTACCAAATCGTATATACTATGTCTTTGTCACAAAAGGTGATATATATTCCCAGAGTTCCAGGAATTTCGGGAACACTGAATTTCCGGTTTAAACAAATTCTTAAAACACGCATGAATTTTGGAAGCTTTTGTAACTCTCAAATCATCTGGAGCCCTCGGGACTCCAATAACTGAAACAAAATTAAGAACTCCGTAAACCTTCATAATTTTCTACATTCCGGTGACATTGAAGGTCTTGGTGATCCACCAGTTCAAGAGTCTTGTGTGCCGGAGTACCGAGAAATTCGTTATTTCCTGAAGCTCCAGGCGTTTCTACACTCAGGTCTTTTTTTACACGGGGGATACGGTCCGTGTAAAAAAAAACCTACGAGATTTTGATTTTTCGCATGCTTAAATGTTTTTAAAAAATCGGATTTTGATGCCATTTGTAATTAAAGCATGATATGGTCCATATAGACATATTTTAAAAATTTCTGTATTTACACCAAAAATTGTGATTTTTTGCCATTCGATTACAAATAGCTTGAAACGGATAATGTGATTGGAATCAAGTCGATAGGTTGTATCGTTGTCGAGAAATCGTTAAAAACGTACCGTGTAAATCGTGGAAAACCGTGTAAAAAAAACCGCGTAAAAAAACCGTGTAAAAAAAGACTTCAGTGTACTTGAAAATCTCCGAGATATACTGGCCAGCAAATGAAAATTAGCAATTTCCCGGATTACTTTCACGTTTTTTTTTTCTACAGGAATTTAAGAAAAAAAAAATCCGGGTTGTGCAATATAACTTCAAATTAAGCATGAAACCGAATGCGATTTAGTTGAAATGGCCGCTAGGTTCAATGGGTCCTTAACCAGTGCTGCAAAATCTCGACAATACATGGTGATATTCCAAATTCTGCTGTGGTCACTCATTTGAGCTAACAGTCATCGTCAAGGCAAACCATGTCAGCTGTCAGTGACGATGATGATGTGCAGATTTTTTATTAGCTACATTTGAAACGAAATTAATTGATATGAGCAAAAAAATTTACATGGAGCCATTAAAGTGAACAAGCATCTACGTCCTGAACTGCCGTTATACGCATAACTGTCCCATGTTCTATGCAATCCTTATGCATCGTGGGACTCTTATGCGTATAACGGCAGTGAACTGCTTGGATAACAATAATGTGACACAGAATGCACGAAATTAAACGTTTTGTTGCCACGTTTTGACAAAGGTTTATTTGAGGATCAATCAGTCAGTGACAACGTGATAAATAATTTCGTAAATTTCACGCGAAGGTCGCAAATCGTCACCCAGAAAGAAAATCGGCTCAGTTTCTTGAAGAGTATAGTTCAGAGAATGGAATGAACTAGAATCTTTGAAAAATCTCAAAATTTGACAAAATGGCGGGCATTTGAAAAAAAAAGTCATTTACCTAGTTACCGCCATTTTGTCAAATTTTGAGATTTTTCAAAGATTCTAGTTCATTCCATTCTCTGAACTATACTCTTCAAGAAACTGAGCCGATTTTCTTTCTAGGTGACGATTTGCGACCTCTAGGCTGCTCGCAGTTTTGGGAAGTACCCGCCGGGCAGCCGCCATATTGGACGCCATTTTGGATTTTTGGACTTGAAAAAATTCCCAGTTGTAGAGCAAAAATGAATAAAGATTTGACAAAAAAACTCAGGTCTCTAACTCTTACCAGTTCCCTGGAAAAAAAATCCAAAGTTTAGGTCAATTGAACCGGAAATCCCCCTTAAATAAACTAATTTAAAAAAATAAACATATAGGGGACATGTATGTAATGTCGGCCTAAGTGTCCCTAATTTGGGCCCATACATAAATTCAGCAATCGACTAAATTTTCAATAGCGACCAAAAATATCCATTAGTACCGTCCCAATGACGCGTTCATCTAGATACAATTGATAAATAGCAGATTTTTAGCGATGGGCCCAATCTTAGAGCCATAGGTCAACATTAGAGTCATTTTCCCTAGTTGAAGATGCTAATTTCAAATAACGGTAATTTTTATACGATATATGAGGAGTATAGAGTTGATAGTTCCGTTAGAGTACGGCAGTGTGAAAATTGTATATAGAGAGTAGAAAGCGAGCAAGGACAACTTTCAAGGAAGGTATAAATCGGTATGATCATCTCTCTATACCAAACTCCCTCGTATGGAGAGGGATGGTGAGGGGTATTCCCCCCGTCACCTCTGGCAAAGAGATGATCGCCGACTCGCTCATGTAGCGACGATGTATTTGAAACAGTTCTATCGATTTTTTACCGCACTCAAGTTGTTATCTGAAGGAAGGCATCCAGTCGTAGGTTTGGAAATTGCAGCTATTGTTACCTCTACCACGGTATGTGCACCTGTCATCGTCGACTTGACGATCTCGAGGGACACGGGTAGGGTAGGTGCTGCTACTGTATCTTTCGACCAGTGGCAGTAATTGATGGTAAGCTCCCATCTAGAGTTAGCGATGGACACAATCTTAGATCCATAAGCCAACTTTAGAGCCATTTCCCCTATATTACTTACTTACTTATTTATTTTGATTTATATTTATTTATTTTTATGTACCTATTTATTTGTTAACTCCGGTTTTTATTGATTTTGATTTATTATTTTTTAATAAGTTATTCTGATTAATTTATTTTGCTTTATTAATTTTTATATATTTACTTTGATTTATTAATTTTGATTTATTTATTTCCATTCATTTTTTATACTTTATTTTTGAGATGTTTAGCCGTAGGGTAGTACATCTCGTATTTCCATTAATTAATTTCCATTAAATAATTTTCGTTATTAATTTGGGTTTACTAATTTTAAATAATTTATTTTGTTTTATTTGTTTTTATTTATTTATAAGTAATTCATTATTTTGATTTATTGATTTTCATTTATTAACTATCATTTCAAGAACAAGATGTGAAAAGGGCATACAAGCATTTTGTAAACAAACCTTCTTCTGCCCTTTTCTCACCACCCATATGAACATCAACCGGGTAGGGGAAACTATACTCTTCCCGATGATGTTGTTGGTTTGCGTGAGTGACCCTCGGTTGGCGAGAAAAGGGCCTACAAAGGTTTGTTTACAAAAAGCTTGTATGCCCTTTTCACATGTGGATCTTGATTTATTTATTTTTGATTTATAAATGTTGATTAATTTATTTTATTTTTATTTTATTTATTCGGTTTATATATATTTTGAGTTATATATTTTTATTTATTAATGTTGATTGATTCATTTATTTATTATATTCGGTTTTTTGTTTTATTCATTTTATTCATTTGTTTTGATCTACAATTTTAATTTATTGATTTAAATTTATGAATTATTTTTAAATTAATTTATAACAATTTATTTATTATGATTTATTATTTCGATTTATTATTTTTGATATCAAGAGCCACATGTGAAAAGGGCATGCAAGCTTTTTCTAAACAAACCTTTGTAGGCTCTTTTCTCGCCAACCCAGGGTCACCCACGCAAACCAACAACATCATCGGGAAGAGTATAGTTTCCCCTACCCGGTGATGATGATGGTTTGCGTTGGTGTCATATGGGTGGCGAGAAAAGGGCATAAGAAGGTTTGTTTACAAAAAGCTTGTATGCCCTTTTCACATGTTGTTCTTGATATATTAATTTAAACTTAATAATTTTCATTTATTATTTTCCCTGCGCTTCGGTCAGAGAGCGTATAGGGCGTCGTTGTGCCAATTTGGTCGTGGCACATTTCGAGTATGAGAGAGTAATTGCAGTTAGATCAAAAGTGCCTGAGAAAAATGCAAATACTTTCGCAGATTACCCGAAGTTGCGATAGTGAAGGTATGATCACAGACAAGCAGACATAACACTATTAAAACCTTCATCGAAATCGTTTTTAACGGTCAATTTAAATGTTTCTTAGTTGGTAGTACCGCCACTTGTGGTGCACATAATCAATTCCCTTGCGTTTGACGTTTACACACTACAGCCTTCTGTAGATGGTGGTGTGTTTACAATCAGAAATGTTCAATGTGTTGTGTCTGTTTGTCTGTGATATAACATTGAGGTAATGTTAGGATAAAATCAAAACATTGAGAAATATAACGCATCACTTTCAGAAATATTTCACTTCGCAACCGATGAACCATTCTGACGGCCATATGAGTACCCAAGTAACCATATAGTCGCAATATAGCTTATATATTCTGACTTTGCTTGACTATGGTTAGTTGGGGAATGTGATGAAACTATCACTTCTTGAAACTGATCCCTTTCGTATTTCTTTCATTCTCTTTTCGCACACGGAGCGCTCGGTGGAACAGCGACTTTGGACGTGAGCCTCGTCCCAGATCACCATGGCAATTCATTTCAATTCAATGAAACCGACCAAAAAAGGCGGAATCATATTAGAACCAACCAAGGACGATCTACGGAAGGAAATTGCCGGTGAAGCACGGAATGAAATACGAAGCGTTAGAGAAAAAGTCCAAGGGATTCCAAAAGAAGCAAATAACGACGGCGGAAGAGCAGAATATGGTGAAAGCTTTCCATTTATTAAAAAAAAATAAAATAAAATAAATAAATATCAAAATTACA